CCTGTCCTTGGCACAGGAAATCCACATCCTGGCATAACAAAGAATGGTTGGCAAAGGGTGGAAGATGTAATGACGCTGATGCAGCCGCCCAGCATAAGATGGGAAAGGAGGGGGGGGAGGAAACGGGCCCAAACTTAGAACAAGGTGGCTTCTGTTGGGGCTTTCTCCCTGCCCAGAGATCTCAGAATAATCACTCGACATCAGGCATGGGCACTAAATAGAAAGCATCTGGAAGAACGTTGCTTATGGATGGGACAGACTTTGGTAAGAACAGGACACGAGTTGAAAGCATATTGAGGGACCGTGAAACTTGGTGTGATTAGAGCTAAAAGGCTGGTGTTGTTGGGTATTTTTTTGGCTGCTTCCCCCCTTAATCTCCCCTTTAGCTCCTTTATGTCCCACGAAGGCCTACACTCCTGAGAAGCTGGGGAGGGAGGCCCGTCATTCCTTACGGCTTGCTTCAAAGGCTCCAGTGAATACCTATCAAATGGCATTTTCGCCCCTTTCTAAAACCATCTCGCAAAGGCCACCTCCTTATTTCCCAGAAGGATCGTAGGGTTCTCTCATCTGAGTGGCACTTTGAGGGACAGACTGGGACTGGGAGAGTTTGAACAATTGAGTTTTGTGCGTCTCCTGGTCTTTAAACACATCCGTTTCCACTGGAAGGGCGCCGGGAGATTGGAAAGACTTGTTCAACCAATGCTGATGTTACGCAAATGCAGAAAATATAGAAGTCAAAGGGAACATTTGGAGTCTTGAAACACAGGAAATGGATTAAAAAAAATAGAAGAGCCATACAAGTGGAAGGAACCTCATGGATCATCTAGTCCACCCCTTACCACAAGGAATAGACGGCTAAAGCTCTCCTGAAAGATGTCCATCCAGTTTTTGTCTAAGGACATCCAATAAGAGACAGCCCACTGAGCTTCAAAACCAGACTATTTCCACTGTTGCAAGGGCTTACTGTTAGGAGGTTCCTCCTAATGTTTTGGTTGATTTTCCCTCTTGCACTTTGGGAAACACTGCCTTGGGGGGGGGGGGGGGAACAACAGCGAGAATGAATACAGTGTTCCCTCACTTATCGCGGGTGTTCGTTCCAGGACCACCCGCGATAAGTGAAATACCGCGAAATAGGGATGTTCATGCCTTGGATTAATGTTTTCTGATTTTCTGAATTATATTAGAGAAGTGTGGACTTTGCTTTTATGGACTTTGCTGAACTTTATCCTGGACTACTTTTGCTCCTGCTTATCTTCTTACCAAATTGGATTTACCTATTCCTTTAAAATGCTTTTCACTTTGCTGTTTTTAAATTATCTTCAATAAGTAAGGAAGTATTTTCCATCCAACAGTGTGGTGTTTACAGTCAGAAGGCCTTTCCTGACCTGGAGTGCAACAGGTATTGAAAAATCAGAAAAGACAAGATGAATGGTTTTGTCCATGTTGCCAGTTCAGAAAGCTAGCCCTTTGGAGCTACTTTCTATTCATTCCGGGTATGGTGATGGTCTTTATAGCATTGTAGTCCAATGATCAAGCCATTAGCTGCCTCCCCATAATTTAAGGTTGTTATGAGTAGCCCATTACGCAAACCTGTCTCAGGATTTGCAGGTAGCTCTTTCAGCAGCCATCACAATGGCTTCCCAATCCCTTTGGGCAACCCTTTTGAGAATCCCTGCTTGCCATTATGGTCAGCATAGGGTTTACAACTGAACTAATTGTGGAACAGGACAAAGTTCCATCATGTCAGAGAAGGTACTGCTCCTCCCTTATCTTCCCAATCCAACTTTCCATGGCAAAGATCACCCCCAAAGTAGTTATTGTGACCAGTTTTGGCACCCCAACTCAATAAGAATACGGACAACCTAGAACATGTTTACAGAAAGGTGACCAAAATGGCTTAAAGGTCTGGAAACAAAGTCCTATGAGGACTAGTTTAGGTAAGTGAGTATATTTGTCTTAGAGGCAAAAATGCTGAGAGCAGACATGGGAGCCTGAGACTGGGACATAATAGAGCCGTGGATTCAGACTACAGAACAAGAGATTCTGCCTCAATGTTAGGAAGAACCTCTGACAGGATAAGCTCATAAACAGTGGAATATCCTGCCTCAGAGTGTGATGGAATCTCCTTCTTTGGAGGTTTCAAAACAGAAGCTGGATGGCATCTGTCGTGAGTGTTTTGATGGTGTGGTCTTGAATGGCAAATGGTTGGACTGGATGGTCTTTGGGGTCTCTTTCAACTCTATGATTAAGTAGAGAACGGGAGAAGAGAGTTGATGCAGAGTTGATCCCAGTGCCTCCAATATGGGCAGTTTGAAGGGTGATGGTTGTGACTGGATGTTGGGAGTCCAGCTGTTTTAGCCTTTGCAGAGGTCAGCACACAGTTACACCAAAAATAAGTGACTGTCTCCAAGGGCTACATGATACAGCAACAAAAGGCGACAATGTAAAGCATTTTCACACCCCATTAATGAAATGATGTGCTTCCTCCCGCTCATCAGGCAGAGAACATTTGCCGGGGAGGGCTTCTGTTCGGAGAGGTCTGGTGCCTAATGATTTAGAATAACAGCACCTCAAATAACCAATTACCGGCTTTAACGGCAGAGCTGGACCGCAAACGGAGGAGGAGGAAGATAAAAAGGGAGGAGGATTTGCTCATGATTCAAGGACTGACATTTATATGGAAAAGGATGTGATTGGTGGGACAAGAATGAAATATAACTTTGCAAAAGAGATGAAAACTCTGTTTCTGACTTGATCCTGGAGCTGCGGAAAAAGAGTGAGGAAAATGGGGGCAACGGGGCACAACAGGGACCGGGTTGTGGCGCAGCTGGTTGAGAGTCAGCTGCATTAAAATAACTACTGACCAAAAGCTCCTGACCATTTGTCTAGCTTGCTGTCGACCTTAGCAGCCTGAAAGACGGTTGCATCTGTGAAGAAGAAAATTTAGATACTGCTTTATGCAGGGAGGCTAATTTAACTAATTTACAACACCATTAAAAAAATCTCCAGCAACATGCAAAAGTATGAGGAAGTAATCCATTGGTGTCACAAGTGGACGGTGAAGCGACAGCTCCCCCAGTGGCTGGAATTAAAAAAGCATACCTTCATGAAGCTGGAAAGTTAAATAGCCTCTGTGTCACTGTCTATGTTGTGGCTGAGCTAGTTTCTGACGATGAGGATGATGGGATTCAGATTCCTGTTGGGTTTCAGCTTCCTGGCTCTTTGTCTGTGCCTCAAATCTCTGAGCCTGCTTCCGAGGCTCTCACAGACAGTGCAGTGTCAACACAGCTGTTTTCACCAGAAAGGAATGTTAACGAAGGGAATAGAGAGCAGGTGCCTTCCCATGATGATACCGAAAGTGCAGATAAAGATTTGACCCGAGAAGCTCGCCTTGATCTCCGGGTCAGGCGGAGTTCGTGTCTGGCAAGCAGATGGGAGGCTAGCTCGGTGCGAGGTCATCGCAATGCTTTTATGATGCTGAGAGCCTAATGTTTTGATGTTAGAAAGGTATTTAGGCCTTACCCTGGAAAGCAGTACACTTGGGATTTCTTGCATTGTGATTTTTGGGGCTAAGGTTTCATTGCTTGTACCTGGGACTCTGGTTTGAACTTTGCCAATAGGATTACGTCTCCTGCTTTTACCTGAAGATCTTTGGAACTATATTCTGCATTTAACCTTAATCTCTGGGACTTTACAATGCTTATTCTTTCTTTTGACTTGGATTTTTTTCCTAAATAAACTATAAAACTACAGCTCTTGTGTGGTGGTGTTTAGAAGCAAGGTGAAGCCTACTTTGAGTTGCAACAGTCTATATAAGTTGTGTGTCTATGGCATTGAATGTTTGCCATGTATATGTGCATTGTGATCCGCCCTGAGTCCCCTGCAGGGTGAGAAAAGCGGAATATAAATCCAGGTGCTCCACCAGAATCACAACTAAATGACACTAAGGCAAAAACAACCACCTCGGACACTGCAAAATAAAACATTTAGAGGCATTACTAGCAAGCCAGATGGCTCAAGCAAGCCGTATCACTGTTCATTAAGCCCTTATGGTGAGATTTTAAAACAAACACATTTCCCAGTCTGAAGTGATACGGCAAGGAATGGGAAAGACTAACTGGCTAAAGTGTGTGTGAGCCATTGAAAAGTTCTTGTTTCATTAACTCACAGGTAGAAAAAATAGAATTAAGAGAGAAAAGTATTTTGGAAGATTCTTGGCTGAAGATGTGTGGTAAGGAGGTACTGGGAAAGATGAAAAGAAATGCTAGAAGACTGAATGGAAGCAAAATGGGACTCTTGAAAATCAGAGTTTGAATTCTTCCTCAGCTTTGAACACACAATGGATGGTTTTGTCAAAATTACACTCTCTCTGCTTTAGAAGAAGGCTATGTTGGCCAACGTATCAACATATGTTGATATCTCAACGTATATTCCCAGGTTCATCTTAAGGTCAACACAAATCAAAAATGGTTTTAAGGCACAAGACTCTGACGCTAAGAGAATAGGGTTCAAATTGCTGCTTTGCTTCACTAGGGTTCAAATCCTCAACTTGACCTTGGGCAAGTCACACTCCGCCTCAGAGAAAGGCAATAAATAAATTCTGTCAAGAAAACCCTGCAATAGGGTCACTCTAAGTCAGCTGGCTTGAGGGCATATAATAATAACAACAGCTGGGAAGGACCTCAACTCTACAACATCTGGGCTAGGACTATGAATCCTTCCAAGTTTGAAGGAGGGCATTCTTTGGGCAGGAAAATCAACAACATTTGAAAAAAGGTCAAGGAAAAGCTCAAACATATAGGTGTACTAACATTAACATGTATGTGTGTGAACTCAGGTCTAGCCAAAACCCATCAAACTTGTTTCATGTGAGATCCCATGCTGGATTCTCTTGAGCCTTAGGAAAGGAGAGCCAATGATCACATCAACACTGGTTTTGGGTCACCTGATTTGGGAGGCCACCACTATTTCCAAAGGGACAAAGGGTCTCCAGTCCTTACCTTTTGTATCGTTCACAGGGTCCATGTGCCGGTAGATGTATCCTTCAAGGTAGGAGTGGAATTTGGGGGTGGGTGGAAAGAAGGCCAGGCAGATGGACATGAGCTCCCAGCCCCGAGCGAGGCTCTCGTAGCGGAAGTTCTCGGTGGTCTGTCGGCAGAGCTGGATGTACAGTTCGTCCCGGAGGCCCTGCATGCTCCAGCCTTTGGTGGCGATCTCCAGAGCCACGTTGAGTTGGTCCGTCTTGGCCCGCCGGTCGCCCATGTACATCTGGATCAGCTTGAATATCTCACAGGCTTCCTTCTTGACGTTGCGGTCGGTGGTCATGATCATGGGTTTCTTGATGGACTCGCTGCTCCAGGCCAGCATGTTGGCGATGGAGACCTTGCGCCGAAAGAGCCCTTGGGTGTGCTTGTTGAAGTGCTTGGAGGCCCAGTTCTCAATGTCCGTCTCCGAGGAAGGCTTCCTTAGGTTGAAGGTGGGGAAGACACAGCTGGTGCTAGGCATCATGTTCCGGTTTTGTCTGCTGCTCTCAAACTGTGCGCAGGCGCCAAGATCCTCGGACTGGGGAAAACAAGGGAAAGAGAACACAAATATGGTGACCTTCTCTCTGAAATGAGAAATCACTAACATCAACCTCTACAGAAACAGGAATGCTACCCAAGTCCTACCTTTCCTTCCATCTCATTCACACTCTGCTGGTGAGTTGGAAATACCTTTTACTGCCTCTTTTGCAAAATTGTGTTTGCTTTGTGTTCTATTGGGGGTGTGAGAGAGAACATTTAAATCAAATCTGTAAATAACCAAGTGGTGAGAAACTGCATTAATTCTAGAGTGTTGATGCATCCTCACATAATCTTTTCTTCTTTTCTTCATCAGTCTTTTGAATCCATGTATCTACTCTGAGTGACTATGGCATGCAACGAAGTCTTCTTGAAGGCCACCTCACATTGGTATTATTTCCTCCCGCTAAACCTGAAAAGAGGCTAGGAAGCTGCCTTGCTCAGACACAATTGTTGGTCCATTTAGCCTTCTTTACATGGTCCATCTAATTCAGTGGTTCTCAACCTGGGGTCCCCAGATGTTTTTGGCCTTCAACTCCCAGAAATCCTAACAGCTGCTAAACTGGCTGGGATTTCTGGGAGTTGTAGGCCAAAAACATCTGGGGACCCCAGGTTGAGAACAACTGATCTAATTGGAGGTCCCATCAGCAACTGCTACCTGCTCTTTATTACTGGAGATGCCAAAAACCCAACCATGGCAGGCATGGCATGGACACAGGTCCACGGGCAGGATGCGGCCCTTTAGCCTCTTATCCCCGGCCCCCGTCTGCCTCGGCCCTCCTCTGAACATGCAGATCCAGTGGCCCACTGTGACCCTAGGCTGAGAGAAGGGCTGAGGCAGAAACACTGTGATGGCGAGCGCTGTCTGGAGAGCTCTCACCAATGCCTTGTTCTCCTCCTTTGACCCTTAGGAAGGTGGGCCGCCTTCCCCAGACTCAGAGGACAAGCGGGATGAGAAACAGGGCGCTGGTGAGAGCTCCTTCCAGTGCCAGGTTTCTCCTTCTGCTTTGTACCTTGAGAAGGGAATCCGCCTTCCCCGGACTCAGGGGTGAATCGGGAGGATGAACATAGCGCTAGCAAAACAGCTATTGCCAGTGCCATGTTATATCTTCTCCCCTGAGCCTTGGGAAGGCAGGCCTTCCCCAAACTCAAAGGAGAACTGGGGGGGAAAACATGGTAGTGGAGAAAGGGTTCTCACCAGCTCCATGTTTCTCTTTCTTCTTGGAGGTTATTATTCTTTATTTATTTCAAATATTTGTTCCCCACCCTTCTCAACCCCCCCCCCCGGGGGGGGGGCGCTCAGGCAGCTTACATCCGGCACAATTTGATGCCATTGCATATAAATAATACATACCGTAATACATATAAAAACACAGTAAATTGATTTCAAAATTAGTTTTAAAATAAAAAGTACAATAATGAAAAGTGCTGGCTGTCTAGCCTTATGTAGAAACAAATTCAGCGAACACAACACAATCGGAAGCCTGTCCATAGTCCATTTTCCATAACAATATCATTATTACCATTGTCAATTATCTGCCAGCTACCCAAAGGCCTGGTCCCATAACCATGTTTTCAATTTCCTCCTGAAGGAAATTGACTCAGAGGACAAGCGGGGGAGGAACACGGTGCTGGAGAAAGGGTTCTCGACAACTCTGTGTTTCTCCTTCTTCTCTAAGGTTTGGGAAGGCAGGCCGCCTTCCCTGGACTAAGTAGAGAAGCGGGGGAGACAACATGGTACTTATTCCTTCTCCTCTGAGCCTTGGGAAGGTGGGTCTTCCCTGGCCTCAGAGAAAAACTGGGGAAGAAACACAGCGCTGGAGAATAGGTTCTCTTCCAGACTTGGAAAGGCACAGGTGTGCCTTTCCCAGACTTAGACAAAAAGTGGGGGAGAAACACGGCACTGGCAAGAATGCTCTTGCAAGCACCATGTGTCTCCTCCTCCTCCCACCTCACCTCCTCCTGCCCCAACCCCACCCTCTCCCTCCTCAACCCTGCCTTCTTCCAGCCCAGCCCCACCCATGTCTGGGCCCAGCCCTGCTTCTTCCAGCTCCAATCCCACCCTCTTCTGGCCCCACTTACACTCTCTCCTGGTCTAACCCATTGCAGACGGACCCGGAAGGTAGCCCCTGGGCAAAAATGTTTGCCCATGCCTGTGGGACATTCTACATGCCAAGCATGTTCTCTGTCACTGAGCTATGGTTCTTAAAATCTGAGCCAACATAACCTCTGGAAGTCCAGGATAACTTTCCTTCTAATTGCTTCCATGGAGACTAGGACAAGGAACAATGGCTTCAAACTACAAGAAAGGAGATTCCATCTGAACATGAGGAAGAACTTCCTGACTGTGAGAGCCGTTCAGCAGTGGAACTCTCTGCCCCGGAGTGTGGTGGAGGCTCCTTCTTTGGAAGCTTTTAAACAGAGGCTGGGTGGCCATCTATCAGGGGTGATTTGAATGCAATATTCCTGCTTCTTGGCAGAATGGGGTTGGACTGGATGGCCCAGGAGGTCTCTTCCAACTCTTTGATTCTATGATTCTCCAGCTCAGCTTTTCTCCTATACATCTCCGTTCCACCAACGGCAGAACCACTTTTGCCAACTACAAGAGACGGTGTCCTGTCAAAGCACTAGAAGGATAACTTTTTAAAAAATAAGAAAAAGGGTAGATTTGAATTTCTGGCCTCGGGGAATAAAGCGAGGGAGAACTTCTAGGGTGTCTCTATGAATCAGAGCGGAGCAAGCAGGGAAAGATTGGGTCAAGTCCATTGATGCCCTGCCGGCAGTCAGCACGCTCCAAGTATGACTCATCCAAGTTCTTTTGAAATCCTTTTTTTCCTCCACATGCTCTTCACATGCATTCATTTCCTAGTGCTTTTCAGCTATTCTTTCATGTTTTTTTTTTTGGGGGGGGGGGGTAACTTCCTTTAAATATCAGCTGCTTAGTGCTGCCCAAATCAAAGGTGAGAAACAAGGTGATGGGATTCAGAATCTATACATGTGTATCAAAGGTTTGAGAATCCCGGCAAGCTACGCTTAATCCAGTGTTTCTCAACCTTCCTCGTGCTGCGACCCCTTAATACAGTTCCTTGTGTTGTGGTGACCCCCAACCATAACAGTACTTATGTTGCTACCCTATAACTGCAATTTTGCTACTCTTACGAATCATAATGTAAATATCTGATATGCAGGATGTATTTTCATTCACTGGACCAAATTTGGCACACGTACCTGATACGCCCAAATGTGTATATTGGTGGGGTTGAGGGGGGGGGGGGTTGATTTTGTCATTTGGGAGTTGTAGTTGCTGGGATTTATAGTTCACCCACAATCAAAGAGCATTTTGAACCCTACCAACTATGGAATTGAACCAAACTTGGCACACACAACTCCCATAACCAAGAGAAAATACTGGAAAGGTTTGGTGGGCATTGACCTGGAGTTTGGGAGTTGTAGTTCACTTACATCCAGAGAGCACTCTGGACTCAAACAGTTATGGATCTGGACCAAACTTGGTATGAATCCTCAATATACCCAAATAAACCTTGACATATGGAAGTTGTAGTTGCTGGGGTTTATAGTTCACCTGCAACCAAAGAGCGTTTTGAACCCCACCTACGATGGAATTGGGCCAAACTTCCCACACAGAGCTCCCATGCTTTGAAGGGACCCACTGGTGTAAACTTCCCTCCACTGCCGCATCCTCACCCATGCTCCCATGTGCCAAGCACATGTGCCAAGCATGCCTACTCTCCCCTCCCTGTTTGGAGTCTCAGAAACCGCTCTCCCCTTGGTTGAGAGGCCAGCTGAGAGGCCTGCCAATCACAGCAAAGAAGGGCTTTTGGTGGGAGGGTTGGCCCTCAGTTTCCAAAAAGGAAGAGAAGGACAGGTGGAGAGATCTTCAGCCTTTTCTGCCAAAGAGGTTCTGAAGACCATCAGAAATATATGCTTTCTGATGGTCTTTGGCAACCCCTCTGAAACCCCCTCGCGACCCCTCCAGGGGTCCCGACCCCCAGGTTGAGAAACAATGCCTTAATCATTGTATTTTGCTTCTTGCAAAGGCCGGCATCCAAAATAGATGTTATGATTCTAGAGAAAAACATCAAGAGATCAATTCTTCATACCAATTATGACAGCACACGTCAACTAAGAAACATAATGTTTTAGACCGAGACAGTATGAAGGGAGAGATTATTTGCTCTGAGTCCCCTTTGGGGTGAGAAGGGCGGGGTACAAATACAGTAAAGGTAAAGGTAAGAGTTTTCCCTGACAATTAAATCCAGTCGTGTCCAACTCTGGGGGTTAGTGCTCATCCATAGACACTAGGCTTGGGCAATCCATGGTTCTAAATGGTTCTAAAGTACTTACAAAACTAAAGTTCTGGTGGTGAAAATTTCAGAACTCTTACAAAACTTTCAAAATTTAATTATTATTTCATTATTGGTGATTTTAATGACAGAACCAATTAGGAACTGCCATTTATTATGAAATTTTGAAAGTTTTGTTAGAGTTCTGAAATTTTCACCACCAGAACTTTAGTTTTGTAAATACTTTAGAACCATTTAGAACCATGGATTGCCCAAGCCTAATAGACACCTCCAATGTCATGTGGCCAGCATGACTGCATGGAGCGCCGTTACCTTCCCGCCAGAGCGGTACCTATTGATCTACTCACATTTGCATGTTTTCAAACTTCTAGGTTGGCACAAGCTGGGGCTAACAGCAGGAGCTTATGCTGCTCCACGGATTCAAACCCGCAACCTTTCGGTCAACAAGTTCAGCAGCTCAGCACTTTAACGCACTGTGCCGCCAGGGGCTCCGGTAAATCAAAAAATAAATATTCACCATTTTCCAACTCTGGACTGAAAAATGGTTCCTCTAAAGCTTGAGAAACACAAGTCTGAAAGAATAACACAATGACAAGAATTCTGCACAGGAATTGTGCATCCTTAAGTATTTCAGGAAAATATTCTGCACAGAAATTATTTCTGTACATGGATGTTT